ATACTTTTTCGTGCGATGACGGACAAAATGGGCACGATGTTTGAGTGCTTACATCCTGCGTTGGAAGATAAAAATGTGGGCTCAGTAAATACTGATATAGGAGCAGACTTCTGTTCTCTAGGGTTGAACCCTCTACCTTCTGCACGGCAGCCCGGCGCCCTACAACCTAAGCAGGCAGTGGTTTAACGGCTGTTACATCAGCAAAAGAAGTTAAAAAGTAGAATGTTTATGTCATTTTGCTATACTCGGGATTAAAGAAAATGAAAACCTAAAAGATCTTGTATGAGGCCCAGTCTCAACTTGGCGTATAAATAGTGAAACAGCATAGCTCCAAAATACAATCATGGATAACGAAATAAACAATGATATACGACTTTCTGTTTCGAGTTCAATGAGCTCATATTCAGCTTCTTCAATACTGCTGGTGTTACCAAGTGCACCGTTTTGTTACACACTTGTGGGGCAAGTCACATTTTCTCAGGAGTTAAGGTGAGGACAGAATAAGTTAATAGCGACCTAATTCAGTGAATGAGATAAACGGGCATTGACTAAAGATACAAATAGAAACAATTTGAAACATGAGACAAAGGAATGAAAGAAATACCGATCCTATTTACTCGGCACGAACGTAGGATCGAATCTTAGACCATCGGATTTTACGATCAGAGGTTCTCACATATAACTATAGATTTCTCGTTAATGAGCCATGACATACAATGGATACATAAAGAATCATCCCGCATACTGCTTAGATCATCAATGTCAAAGTTTGATGTCTTAAAATACATAATGATAGAAAGGAAATTTCAAGCTCTTTCGTGACAAAGGAAAAAATCATTTTTAACCGACGACCGAAAAAAAAACCCTATCCGTCAGATCAGGTTAAACGAAAGATTAAATATCAATGCTGACATGTAGATAAACACACTAGACCTTGAGGTAGCTCATTTAACTTCCCATGAGAGATTTACGAAGCTGTGGCATTTCTGATTCCTGTATCATGTGCGTCACTTGTCTGTAAGAACCGTTATACAATTATTTATGGTCTCGCTTACTGCATCCAAATTCAACAAAGAATTCTGGAGCTCAAAGAGACAGAGAGCAAGGGCCTCAGATTTCTCTTCCAACTTAAAGACAACTGGTTCAGTAACAATTTATTCATAAAATTCCTGTAAGAACACTGAGGGTTTCTGTACACAAAGACGCATGGAGCACATAGATTTAAAATATTTTGAATATCTTCCGCGGATATTTCTTTAAGAAGAGTACTTATTGTATTCGCTTTAATTCTTTCTAAGTCAAGTATTTTTCTTGGAAAAGAACTTTATTAGAGATAAATTTATTGCAAGTACTCTTCAGGTGAGGAAAGATAATGAAGAAATATGTTGCATATTATATTCGAAAGACGACAAAATTGGAAAAAAAATTTACATAAAAAATACAGATTACTGATGTGGTTTCATTAGCTTTGTATCTCCCTCTGGTGATTTCACTGGACACCTACCTACCTACCCACCTACCTTTTGACTGCAAAAATATTAAATGCAGAATTGGCGGGAGTTATTTATCAGAAAAAAGCTTACCTTTTAGAAACTTTATGAAGTTGTAACGGTGAAATCGGAAAATGAAAATTTGAGAGAACTGTAACGCTAATGGGAAGATGACCAAAAACAAATGTGTATCATATTGAACGAGGGATATATCGAGTTGATCACTTGAAGAGAAATTGCATTTTTTACAATATAACTCACGGTATGAATTTATCCTTATCGATTCAGTTATGGGAGACTGTAACATGTCCTGCTCTGAGGAGAAGAAAGGATTTTGCAGATTGCCAGTGTTTCGCACAAAAAGGGAAAGAGCTAAATTTAAATCACAGCATTAATTAATCGCCATGGAGAAACATGTAAACAAGTAATAATCATCAAAAGAATAAAACAAACCAACAAACAAAAAAAAGAGCACAATAACTTTCTTAAAGAAGAACAGCAATCCTGATCTCGAAACTGGGCATTAGATGAGGTTAGATCTGTTAAACTCGTGAATATGATACCTTCATTTTTTCGTCGAAATTTTTGTAAAGCAAAATATTAATCTTGATATTTTCAGGCATGTAGAATCAACAAATGACATCGTTTGGGGAATAGAGGGATTCAGAGGATGACAGTTTAACAGGTACAAACCAATTTTCATTCTGCAACTGATTAGAACTGAAGAGCTCATGTTATTTATAAAAAAGATCGTAATCTTAATTTTATTGTGGCTGACAACAATGAAGTTTAATTTCAGTAGAATTTCCTCGGTTTATTGTTGTCAGATGTGAAAATATTTCTCGATCGAGACATATTCAGTACTGATTCTGCTATTCATCAAACCTCCCAGTGACTTGAAAAATAGAAACCACTTACTTCCCGAGCCAGTTCTTTTGTCATTGTTCATTGACCTAAGTCGCCATACAGTTCTTCAAATCCGTCGTTCTCCATCCCAAACACTCGCCTATTAAAGGAAAGTGCATCGATGAAGTCAACTGTTCTCGATCGAATTGACTGTTACTGAGTTCGAAGCGTCCAAGTATTCTGTAAAATTGCCATTTCCTCCCATCAAAAAACTTCCCAACGCGCCAGAATATCCCTTATTTTCCATAAAGGGGTGAGTTTCTAAAGAAACTGTGGTGCTGCATCGGTGGGAGAGTATAGCAGGTAATTTAGTGTTAACAACTGGGTTGAAAACGTAAATTAGCCACCGTAAAGGGTAAAAAAGCTGACGTTTCGAGCGTTAGCCCTTCGTCAATCGCTCTGACGAAGGGCTAACGCTCGAAACGTCAGCTTTTTTACCCTTTACGGTGGCTAATTTACGTTTTCAACCCAGTTGTTAACACTAAATTACCTGCCTTATTTCCATGTTGAGTAAGTGACGAGAGGCCGTGTTGAAAACTATGACTGAAATGGTTAAACACGAGCAACGCTGATCTTCGAATCGTCGGCCATATTTGTTAATGTTCTTGCCGGGAAATAAATGAGTTCTCAGGTCCTTTGAGGAATAAAAATATACCAGACGTTGAATGCAAATTCAGTAGTCTTGGCGCGAGAATTTAATAAAAGGAAATCAAAATTCTGACATCATGTCATCGCTCTGCCTCGAAAAATACCAAAGATTTACTTGCAGGTCTTCTTTTCTTTTTCTTTTCATCAAATAGAAGATCTGCGGTGCTCAAATTGTGTAAGTCATGGTACAAAACACGCTTCTTTGCAGATCGAGCCTTGATCGCCGCCATATTGAATCCTCTTGATATTCTATTGTTGCAGAGTGTGATACGATATACCGCTGATAATTGTTAGCGGGCTCGAAATGTCCCCGATTTCTGGCGATGATTATCTCTCGAAAACAAACGAAGTTTAAAACAAAGCTCGAGGTTGAAATTAAAAAAAATAATAATAAAAGACAAAATCCTTTCGTCTCTTTTGGTATCGTAACATTCGCGATACATAGTAATAATAACGGTAATTTGGTTGTCGGTGGAAGACCAGAATTTTTTCAGTTTCAAAAACGTGACATCTCCACCGCACGCTGTAAGCGTATCATTTATATCGTCACATATAAAGGTATCAATGTCGTCATTAGAACCGAATTTATCAACATGACTTTGAATTTATCATCATTACTTTCCATGTACGCTTTTTTAAATTTTTTTTTAACCTGAAGCTGAATTCAATTTTTTTAAAGGAAATAGTTCTTGCTATGAGAAATAGAATGTTTGAAATTGAATTGGTTTTCCGGCTAGTTGAGTTTCGGTGTAGCGGATCTCTGTATTCGATGCTCCTAGGTGATTCAAATTTACAATCAATATCTTTTGAATAGAAAAGGAAGATACATGTCCGCCTCTGGATTCGAATTTAACTGCTTGAGTTGAATTAACTCTTAGACGGCGTGAAAGATGTCATAAACACTCGATGGTAAATTTCGTATCCACGCGCAGTTATCTAATACCTCATATACGCGTGTGCATTACTGAACAAGTGTGATCTTAAGGTGGCTGGTACCAGTTTTCATCTTTTTGATGGTTTGTAACTTTGAAAAAATATAACAAAAAGATTGACCAAGGCCAGTTGAACACTTTTACAAGATTGAATTATATAATCATTGGTTATCCAAAAATAGGTGTCATTTCGTCACTAGCAGTTTCCATGGCAACACTTTCATAGGAATAATTCAGACAAAACTAACTCGATGACCCCATGATTTTTCCTAGTGATTGCTTTTGGCACTTGAAAAGGAAAATGCACAAAGATTTTAGAAAAATTCTTTGGAGCGGAATTTCAGAAAATTTAGACAAGGGAATTTTCACGCATCGCAAATGTCCCTCCGTAGAATTTACTAGTTTTTTTTCTGTCGATTCCTTTCAAAGTTATTATTATATTGAAACATTAAAAAGAAGGGGTCACCGGACTATTTTCCATACAAAAGCTTTCGTGAGTTTAGCAATTCCAACGCATGTTCTCGCGCATCTAAAATCCGGATTCTATAAGATCGACAAATGCTCATGATCTGTTACGGCTACTGCTGACAATTGCGTGTGCTCGCGCGAGCTCCTACTGCATCCGATTACAAACGTTCGCAAACGTTTACTGCTCAGAAAGTCATTCAGCAGCCGTTAAAGACAGCCCTCCGGGCTCACCTTGAAAGATTTACTTCCAACCTCTGACTATATTAGCCATATTTTTATTGAAAAACAACAGGCGAAAGTTTGAAATGGACTAAATTCCATGGAAAACACGTGTTGGTTGGCGCTTCGATCGGAATGTTTGTTTAGTGATTATAAGTCTCCTAATAGGTAAAATGTTATGCCTGAGATTTTTTCGGGCATCGCTCCTTGTTCTTCGTTGCTGGTTTCTTCGAAGTGTTTAACTATGGCGGCCAATATCCTCTTCGTCCGTATGACTCGTGGTGTGTTCGCCGATGAAGTTGTTGGTGGATTAGACAATATGGCCACTAGTCCTCTTTTACCAAACCTTGTGAAGGTCATCGTAAGAGAGACCACTGTCAGCGATATTTTGTGCCATTGATCTTTTAATTGGTCCGTTGTCGGTTACCTTGAACAAGTTGTCACTGAATGTTAGAGGAAGTTCGTGGCGTTGATCTAGGTAGGCGTGGGGAGCACTGATGACACCGGAATTCTCAATGATGTTTTTCCTGGAGAGGCTTAATGACGATTCAAAAAGAATTTTTCTCATTTTCGCCCTGACATCCTCTAAAGCATCTTGGGCGTCAAATTGTTCCTTGAACAAATGGTTATAAATGCTGCTTTGGTTTGGTTTGCAGTATCCACCAGAATCGAGCTCAAGTGCTTTGTGTTTGTTTTTAATCAGTTTTTTCATCAGATGTAGACTATCCGCAAAGTAGACATTCATGTCAGTAATGCCATCCTTGAAGTTTTTATCACTATTTCTTAGGAGAATAGGAACATCGAACGTTGCCGAATTATGACCAATTAAAACAGTTATTTGATTTTCATGTTGCTCAGAAGACTTGACTTTAGTTATAAAAGTCAGGAAGTCACGAAATGCTTCCTCTACGGTTATACTTTCGACAGGAATGTTTCCTTGGCACAATGTCCTTACTCCCTTTATGGTCTTGATGGTCATACCATTGACAAGGTAGACACTGTAACTTATGTTGCTTTTTGGGAGAATGTACGTGGAGAATTCATGTTTCCCACTTTCACTTACAGCTGACAGTTGGCATATCTCGGCTAGCTTCCCTGTGTAAGTCGTTTCTGTGTCAAAGATAACGAATTGATATTTCTGTTTGAATTATATTGTAAGTGCACAGTCTTTGGCCTTATAGTGTAGGGTATAGTGTAGGGTGGTGTTATTTCTTCATATCCTTTTAGCTCAGTTCGTGATATTTCTGCAGGCATTTCAAATACATTTTGTGACACTGTTTGATGATTTGTTGGATCCAAATTTAGACCTGCTGAAGACTCATAGGTGACCCCTTCACTGACTTCCCGCCTGAGTGTTTGCGAGGTTTTTTGTTTAGATAACTGGTTACGCCTTCTCTTGAATTCCTTTTTTTCTTTTCGCTGTTCGTCATAAAAAAAACCTTCTTGTCCATTGCTTTAGCATGTCTTTCATAGAGAGAGCCTGGCTCAATATTAAGAATCTCTCATGTTTTTCCAATGTAGTTGTATCTAATATTGGTTTGTGCCACCCCACATGCTACTCGAAAATCATTACTTTCACTGCCTCCATAAAATTGAGTTTTGGGGTTCTTAGAACCAATGGTGCTATTAAGACTTTCATTTCTCTGTGAATTAGCACATGGGGTAAGTTTATTCACCACAACGTCAGTGGAATATTCATCCAGAATGTCACTCAAGGCTTTTTTTAGGGAATCTCCGAAGAGATCTTTGCCATTTGGCAAGTCTGTATGTTTGTAAGCTACAGGATTTTGCTTGAAACCACACCATGAAACATTACAACAAGTATGCTCCCCAAAGGCGTGGTCACTCTCATGCGTCACGGCAAGAGATCCCTTAAAACTAGATTATACAATCTTAGAGACCTCTTCAAAGGATCAAATTGCTCAATTCTCAGTCCAAAGGTTATAAATTACATCACCAAGTGCTTCAGTTTTTGTGTCAGCCAAAATGTGGGAGATCCTGAATCTTTAAACCAAGGTCTCAAAAACATTATTCCCCATGCCATGAAACATTACAACAAGTATGCTCCCCAAAGGAAATAGGTTCTCTCTATGAAAGACATGCTAAAGCAATGGACAAGAAGGTTTTTTTTATGACGAACAGCGAAAAGAAAAAAAGGAATTCAAGAGAAGGCGTAACCAGTTATCTAAACAAAAAACCTCGCAAACACTCAGGCGGGAAGTCAGTGAAGGGGTCACCTATGAGTCTTCAGCAGGTCTAAATTTGGATCCAACAAATCATCAAACAGTGTCACAAAATGTATTTGAAATGCCTGCAGAAATATCACGAACTGAGCTAAAAAAGGATATGAAGAAATAACACCACCCTACACTATACCCTACACTATAAGGCCAAAGATTGTGCACTTACAATATAATTCAAACAGAAATATCAATTCGTTATCTTTGACACAGAAACGACTTACACAGGGAAGCTAGCCGAGATATGCCAACTGTCAGCTGTAAGTGAAAGTGGGAAACATGAATTCTCCACGTACATTCTCTCAAAAAGCAACATAAGTTACAGTGTCTACCTTGTCAATGGTATGACCATCAAGACCATAAAGGGAGTAAGGACATTGTGCCAAGGAAACATTCCTGTCGAAAGTATAACCGTAGAGGAAGCATTTCGTGACTTCCTGACTTTTATAACTAAAGTCAAGTCTTCTGAGCAACATGAAAATCAAATAACTGTTTTAATTGGTCATAATTCGGCAACGTTCGATGTTCCTATTCTCCTAAGAAATAGTGATAAAAAAACTTCAAGGATGGCATTACTGACATGAATGTCTACTTTGCGGATAGTCTACATCTGATGAAAAAACTGATTAAAAACAAACACAAAGCACTTGAGCTCGATTCTGGTGGATACTGCAAACCAAACCAAAGCAGCATTTATAACCATTTGTTCAAGGAACAATTTGACGCCCAAGATGCTTTAGAGGATGTCAGGGCGAAAATGAGAAAAATTCTTTTTGAATCGTCATTAAGCCTCTCCAGGAAAAACATCATTGAGAATTCCGGTGTCATCAGTGCTCCCCACGCCTACCTAGATCAACGCCACGAACTTCCTCTAACATTCAGTGACAACTTGTTCAAGGTAACCGACAACGGACTAATTAAAAGATCAATGGCACAAAATATCGCTGACAGTGGTCTCTCTTACGATGACCTTCACAAGGTTTGGTAAAAGAGGACTAGTGGCCATATTGTCTAATCCACCAACAACTTCATCGGCGAACACACCACGAGTCATACGGACGAAGAGGATATTGGCCGCCATAGTTAAACACTTCGAAGAAACCAGCAACGAAGAACAAGGAGTGATGCCCGAAAAAATCTCAGGCATAGCATTTTACCTATTAGGAGACTCATAATCTCTAAACAAACATTCCGATCGAAGTGCCAACCAACACGTGTTTTCCATGGAATTTAGTCCATTTCAAACTTTCGCCTGTTGTTTTTCAATAAAAATATGGCTAATATAGTCAGAGGTTGGAAGTAAATCTTTCAAGGTGAGCCCGGAGGGCTGTCTTTAACGGCTGCTGAATGACTTTCTGAGCAGTAAACGTTTGCGAATGTTTGTGATCGGATGCAGTGGGAGCTCGCGCGAGCACACGCAATTGTCAGCGGTAGCCGTAACAGACCATGAGCATTTGTCGATCTTATAGAATCCGGATTTTTAGATGCGCGACAACGTGCGTTGGAATTGCTTAACTCACGAAAGCTTTTGCATGGAAAATAGTCCGGTGACCCCTTCTCTTTAATGTTCCAATATAATAATAACTTTGAAAAGAATCGTCAGAAAAAAAACTAGTAAATTCTAAGGAGGGACATTTGCGATGCGTGAAAATTCCCTTGTCTAAATTTTCTGAAATTCGGCTCCGTATAATTTTTTAAAAATCTTTGTGCATTTTCCTTTTCAAGTGCCAAAAGCAGTCACTAAGAAAAATCATGGGGTCACCGAGTTAGTTTTCAAATTATTTGAGCCATAAGCTAAAAAATGCTTCGGAATATCCTATGAAAGCGTTGCCATGGAAACTGCTAGTGACGAAATGACACCTATTTTTGGATAACCTATGATTATATAATTCAATCTTGTAAAAGTGTTCAACTGGCCTTGGTCAATCTTTTTGTTATATTTTTTTCAAAGTTACAAACCATTAAAAAGATGAAAACTGGTACCAGCCACCTTAAGAAGGCTGTACATCGGCCAATTTCTCTCATTACATTTCAAGCCGGGACCCAGACGAAGGCTTCGTCAGCAAAGGATCAAAGGATGTATCACACGTTAACAAAATACATTCATGCACCATGGAATTACGAAATGAATCTGCGAGTTTCGTTATGATTTTCGTTTTGTTTTGTTTTCATTTAGGACGAATCTTGGACCTCTGTTTAAGCCAAAAATTATAAAAAAAAGCTTATATTCATGTGACAGGAATGCACTGTTTAGTTACGACATTATACGAGGTATTCAACAGGCTACAAGTATTTCTTTTTTTACTATTAGAACTTACGAATTTTTTAAGAAAACCTTTGTCCACCAATTTTTGAAGCTTTGAAGGAAATTGTATACTCCCTTGCAAGGGTCGATAAACGTGTTGCTTTACGCAGTAGGGTCGCGGGGTGTTGGTAGAATTCGTGACGGTTACGCAAACCCTCGTAGGTGTTTCGGGTTTGAATAAGTTTCGCGAATTCTCACAGCCCCACACCCGATAAAGTGAAGGGATGAGAGAAAGAGTCTTTTATTTCATAATTTTTGATGAGACTACTAAAACAAACAAACAAACAACTGAAAAAACAAACCTGACACAACCCGCAAAACTTTGGCTGGAGCTGTCACGCAACCACAATAGCGTGACGGAGGAAACTTTGAGCTTCTTATTCTTCCTCTATGATTAAGTATACAACGTTTTCTTTTGATTACTTTCATCTGAGTCTCCTCTTTTTTATTTTTAACAATGTAGCGCTGTACAATCGATTCAATTTTATTTCTAGCTATGGCAGAAAGCAACCCTCCAACAATGGAAGAAGAACTGGAAGTGAAAATTGAATTTTCAGCCACAGGTGAGAAAAAGCAACGGGGAAAGACTTCTTTATTGTAATTTTTTACTGCTTGTTAATTAAGTTTACTTTAGTTCTGGTGCACAATTTTTTTGACCACTTGGACTCGAAGGTTTTTAGGAATCCACTAGATACGCCAGTATTAGAACGCTAGTTGTAATTGCACATAGTTGTGATCACTAACAAAGTTGAAATATCTTCTCGGTAATTTCAGCAACAGAAGACAGTCAAGTTACGTCAATTGACGCTGAACTGGATGTATACAATGACCCTTTAAGAGGTGAGAAAACTAGGTGAAGTAAGATTGTTTGAAAGACGCCTCAGCGAAGTTTTTTGTCACATTTACATCAACATTTGCTTATGTTCTGTGAATAAATTTTTGAAACAGCAAAAGAATTTTCTTCAAATTCAAACTCAGTAACCAGTACCAGTAAAATGCATAGACATCATTAATTATTCATAAGTAATGAAGCGGCAAATTTGAACGTGACTTAGCTATAAGAACCCTAAATTAAAGAATGGGCCAAAATTGGCCTACCAGGTTTCGTAAAACTCAATTTTCTGAGTTTTAGAAGTGTTTACTTGTAAATCAACGCACAATGTTTTGGAGATTAACGATGTATCTACAATTTGCACCTAAAATGAACGATATTTGCGCATTAAAAGTATTACAATTGTAAATTTGGTCATTTTTAGTATGAAAGTCATTTTTGGCAAGAGAGAGCTATTGGTACCCAAACACCCGTCAAAGCTGAGTATCGAAAAATTTGCAAACGGGTAACTTTTTAAAGCCGCCAAAAGAAAAGTATTTACGCTAACACCTTTTTGTCCCTTACTGTTCAGTACATGCTCGGCAGAAATTTTACGCAATTTCAGAATTCTACATAGAAGAGGAGGCATTTTGTCTCGGCCGTAACGCCTGATTTGGTCTCCTAAATATTCCACGCCTTCTCGTACAGTCATAACAACACCAGAAATAAGACTTTTCTGTTTCTTTTTTATTACTATTATTATTATTCATAGCTTTAAGCTCCTTTAACCTTAAAGTTCGTTTGGAAGTATAAAGTTAGCATCATCTGTCAAGGGTCGTATCACTCATTACTAAATCATTAACACTAAAAAGGTGTGTTTTCAGGGATAGCGAAAGTATGCCTGGAGAAAGGTAACAAAGAATACAGACAAGGAGATGCTAATAACGCGATAAACTCCTACACGGAAGGACTTCAAGTCAACTGCGAAGATAAACGACTGAACGCCAAGCTTTACAGCAACAGGGCAACAGCTTATTTCCGTTTGGGTAACAATTTCATTTCTAAATACATAAATCTCTCATGCAGCGTTACAAGATAACGGAATACAAAATCTGCATCAAGAAAAGAAGGAAGTTGAGCAACAGCAGGAAAAAAGCACAAATACATGAATCCCCTTTTAGTGGATGAAAATTCAGAAAAGAATTGATTCTCGTTATTAGACTGCAATTTAAGTTACTGTAATTTTTCAGGCTTCTATGCTGCAATTTCATTGGACGACCACTTTTTTTAAACCTCTTTTCCTGAATCTCATAGCAAACTACGTGGAATGTCTGGGTGATGCAACAGTTGCTGTTCAATTGCAACCCACTTTAATCAAAGCTATGAAGAAAGGTGGGTTTTTCAGACATAAGCCGTCAACATTCTATTCTCTTATTTCGTCAAAAGAGGATTTTGTGGTTTGTGGCAGGTGACTGCACCCCAAGT